ATTAGAAAGCGTGGGACAAGAGGGAAAACGCTCCAATTCATGCTTTCTAGACATGGGACATGCAGGTGTGGACAAGCCCTGAGATGCTGTCTGTCTGAGTTGGCAATATTAAGTTAGATGGACCAATATCCTGACTTAGTATGAGGCAGCTTTCCACTTACACTGTGGGAATTTAGAAGATTGCTAATCAGGTAATTCAAACCAAAGGTTTCTTCATTCATCTCTGGTCCATTGAGCTGTTTTTATCCCCTAGATATCAAAGGGCACTTAAAACACTAGTTAAAAAGGTTTAAACAAAACTTGTAAAGCACACACAGCTTTACACAGGCAGTAAAAGAGAAAAGTACACTCGTTCAAGCATACATAAAAAAATACAAATGAATGAGTAGGTGCCAACCTGGCTCAGCCAACACACATCAAAGAACTAAACCCTCTGCCCAGCATCACACATTTTTTATAAAGTTCTTATATTTTATTTATTGATGGATGGATTTATATCCCACCTATTATTCAAGGAGCTAAAGGTGACATACATGGTTCGCTCTCTCATTCAGTTCCCACAACAACCCTGGGAGGTAGGTTAGGCTGATAGAGAGTGAATGGCCCAAGGTCACCCAGTGAGTGCCATGGCAGAGTGAGGATTTGAACCCTGGTCTCCCAGGTCTTAGTTTGAATGCTACACCACACTTTATGTAACTCCACACTTTCCCTTTTCCCTCAATGTGATGACCTTTGGACACAGGTCTTTTGCATGTACACACCTCCTTCACAACCTAATGTGTAAAACCCTCTCTTACTCCAATAGCCTAGCTAGTCCCTTGGTGTTTACTTCCGATTTCTGTAGGTGCATGTTCCACATAGGACACATAGCCCTTGTTCTTTCTCATCTCTAGCTTGCTCCCCTGTTGCGCCTTTCGCTCCTAACCACATTTCCTGTCACATCTAGGTATCTGTATGGTTGAGATGGGAGAGGGAGAATTCCAAACACTGAGCTTCTTGTTTTTCTACCATTCCAGAATATTCCTGAATGATACCCTTTTCAGTACAGATGTGATCCCCTTTGAATTAAAAAATATTACATTAAAAAATAATAATGCCAGACCACCTTGCTGGTTCAGGTCAAGGGCTCATGAAACCAGGCTTCCTGTTTTCATGGTAGCCACATGTAGATGCTCCAATGTGAAACCTGCAAGCAGGTCATGAATGCAATAGACCTCTGTTTTGGGTCCCTTCCAATCCTATAATTCTATGATCCCCTTACTTGTTCCCCAACAACTAGAATTCAGAGGCACACCAACTTTCAACCATTGATAGCTATGAATTTGTCTAAAGCCCCTTTAAAGCCATCGGAGTTGGTGGCCATCATGACATCTTGTGGGAACAAATTTCATTGCGAAGAAGGAATTCCTTTTGTCTTCACACCATTCATAATTTTATCCCTCTCTATCATACCACCTCATTCACTCCTTTTCTAAGCCATAAAGTCCCAGATAGCGTAACCTTTCCTTGTCAAAGACCATCTCCACTCCCTTGACCATTTTGGCTGCCCTTTTCTACTTACCCACCACATTTTCTATGTCCCTGTATGGGTCACCAGGCACAATTAACATCAGATGCAATCATCTCACCAAATCTATTAGCCACTTAAATGCCTTTCTGTAAACCACATTTTCGCTTGGCCAACAAGTTTTATTTTTAATATAGAACATAAGGTGAGGATTCCTGCCTTGGTCCCAGTTCTGTGGAAGGTGTAGCTGAGGGCGATGATTGCTCCCAGCACAAGAGCCAAGAAACCAGCTGGCCTCATTCTGGTCTCTGTTGCAAAAGAAAGGTTTCTGCATCAGTTGCTACCTTTGATTCCAGGCCTCCTACTTGGCAACTCTAAGCTGTTGAAAACTCAGTCAATCCTTACATAAACCAAGCTGCATTTTCATTGTTCCAGGATGTTTCAGAGAATGATTCATAAATTGCACCCAGCCTTGTGAAACCAGAATGATAGATCATGCAGGGAGTGGGTGCTAGAGAATATTGCAATGACCTGGGAATCCAAAGTCTTTTGCACGCATCATATTTTGTTTGAAATAACACGGAACTTGATGTCAATCAAAAGTATAATGGTGTTTGTTCTTGACAAGAGGGGGGGGACTGAATCTGGGCAGCAGAAACTTCATGCCCTATTACCCTCCCAATTCTTGTGATTGTACTCCGTGTCTACGGTTTTTAATTCTGAATGTTAAATTGGTGTAACACCCTGGGACCTGTTGGTGAAAGGGTGGGTAATAAATTCAATCCTCCTCCTTCTCCAAACAAAAATAGCAATAATAATTCCTAGTACTATTTTTCTAGAAAAAGAGGTGCTGGAACTCTCCATTAACACCTCCCTTGTTCTCTTATAATGGCAATGGTGCCTACCTGAGATGTGCCGGAACTGAGTTCCGGGGAGTTCTGGCTTGGGGGAAAACAAACACCTGATAATACCTAAGAAAATCTGGCGGGTTTCTCACTCCACCAGGGCCAGCCCAGCCATGAGGTGAGGTGAAGCAATTGCCTCAAGACTAGCAACATAGCAGGGGTTGCCAGGGCCCGGGGCCGTGTGGGAAGGAGGGAACCAGATGGAGTACGCAGGCACATTCAGCTGCCTAATGGTGTCTTCATCACCCAGGAGATCGCAGCCACAGAGATAAGAAAAGAAAAGTCGTTCCATTATCTGGAGAGATCACTTCCTGGTTCACATGGAAAAGCTGTTTTCAACAGAGTTCAGTGACGGAAGCATGCAGCTATATTGAGGCAGCACCGGGCGTTAAAATTTTGCTCCCCCTAACAATTTTGTGCCCGGGCAACTGCCCCTGTGGGCCCCCCATGCTATGCCACTGCTCAGGGTTGCAGGTTAGGGATAGCTGGGAGGGGTGACAGATCCACGACTGCAAGAAGCACACATTTGCCACCTGCCTGCTCCTCCTTCATCCTCTCACCAGCAACAACACCTCCTTCCCCTGCCACTGCTGCTTCCTCCTTCTTCTCCCTGGCAAAGCCTTGCCTCTGCCAGCTTCCTTTTGGGCTTCCTTTTTCTCATTATCATTGGTGGGATGGAGAAGCCATCATCGTGGAGGGGCACCATTTCCTGGTGTGCCTCAGCAGCAAAATGTCCTGGCCCTGTATCCAAATTTAGCGATGCAGCATCTATCATGTTGTGATATCCACGAAGCTTTCTGCTCACAAACCTTTCTGCCTGCAGTCCAACACAAACTGAGGCCTCAGCTACATTATTAAAAAGAAAATAATCCACAATGAATTGAAAAAAAATGTTTTAAAGTACCTTTCAAAAAACAAAAACAAAAAGCCAAACAGACTTCTTTTCGTTAGGGATAATTCAGACTGAAATTCCCAAGTGTCAAAAAAGGTTATTTATGTATGCGACTACTGCGGCCTGTGTTCTGTTAGCCCAAAAATGGAAAGCGAGCGAGGTCCCAACTAAAGAAGAATGGCAACTTAAATTGATGGAATATGCACAGCTTGCAGACCTAACATATAGAATAAGAGAACAAAAGGAACAGAAGATTGCAAAACGTTTATTGAAAATATGGGGGGAAATTGTGTACACTTGAAAACATTGGCAGCATTAAGATAAATTCAACAGTGTAAACAGGTTTTGATGGATGTAATAATGGAATACAGAATGGTTTAGTTCATGTAAAATATGCAGGGATTTATGATATGAAAAATGAACCATGGAAAGGGGAGAAGGGAAGTCATTGATATTTTAGGGATGTTTAAATGAGTATTTTAAATTGTAAAACAGAACATTTAATAAAAATTATATATATATTTTAAAAGTATGTATTCCTGGTGATGGGCAATTGGGACAGATTAGGGATTCTGCTGGTTTACCACCCACCTCGCCGCCCAGCAGTCTCCCTGCCTGAGCTGACAGAGCTGATCTCAGAGGCGGTGTTGAGGACCCTCAGACTGCTGGTTCTGGGAGACTTCAACATCCCTGCTGAGGCAGCTGGCTCTGAGACATCTCAGGACTTCATGGCTGCCATGATAACCATGGGGCTGCCCAAACATGTCACTGGCCCAACACACATAGCAGGCCACACACTGGACATTGTTTTCTTGACTGGGCAGGTAAAGGTAAAGGGACACCTGACCATTAGGTCCAGTCGTGGCCGACTCTGGGGTTGCAGCGCTCATCTCGCTTTATTGGCCGAGGGAGAGGCATACAGCTTCTGGGTCATGTGGCCAGCATGACTAAGCCACTTCTGGCGAACCAGAGCAGTGCACGGAAACACCGTTTACCTTCCTGCTGGAGGTATTTCTCTACTTGCACTTTGATGTGCTTTCGAACTGCTAGGTTGGCAGGAGGACTGGGCAGATAGAGAGTGATTTGAAGGTGGGGGACATTGACACCAGTCCCTTGTCATGGTCTGATCACTTCCTGATGAGATTTAGGATGTCAGCACCTTTCCCCTCTGCAGTGGTAGGAGACCTATTAGGAAGTTCCGCCCTTGGAGGCTGATGAATCCAGGGGGATTCCAAATGGCACTGGGGGTGTTTCCAGCTGATATGACTGGTGCACCTGTCAAAGCCCTTGCCAACCTCTGGAACACCTGAATGGCTCAGGCTATTGACACAATTGCCCCTGAGCTCCCTCTCCCACTTTGTGGAGCCCTCTTCTCCACCCTGGTATACTCCTTAGGGCAAGGAAACAAGCTGGGAGACAGCTTGAATGCAAGTGGAGGAAGGATCCAAACAAATGCAACCAAACATTGTTAAGGGCTCATTATTGAGCCTACCTAGCGGCAGTGAAGGCATATTTTGCTGTCTCCATTGCATCCTCATTATGTTGTTCAGCAGAGCTTTTCTGGGTTGTACAGAGCATTTTACAGTTGTCACAATACACAAAGCGCAACAGATAATGATAATAACTGTGAAAAAAAATTACTGGTTATTTCCTATCGTAAAGGTCTAGCCCAGTATTTGCAACATATACAGTTCATATGTACGGTGTATAACCTATGAGGCTAATTTGAATATTAATACATTTCTTCTTTTCTTTTCTTATTGCTTCTTCAACAGCTGTGTTGTTCTTGACACCTTGGGGACTTTTCTGTTCTTACCTACAGATTGTGTTATACAGGAATTTACAAGAAGAAGCAGTAAGAAAAGAAGAAATGTATTAATATTGGAATTAGTCTCATAGGTTACACACCGTACACAATATGCTTTGTGTATTGTGACAACTGTATTTGCGTAGCAAGGTATTGAACTGTTTTGACGGAGCATTTTACAGGCTGGCCCACTGTGTGGCTTGTTTGCAAAGCACTGTGGCTTGTTTGCAAAGCATTTTGAGGATAAAAATTGCTTGCATCCACAAAGACCTTGACTCAGCTGTTATAGCAGATGAATCTCATGGGGTGTCCAGAGCACAGTCTAGTCCTGATGTGTTGGATGAGTTTCAGTTGGTAAGGCTCAAGGTTGTGGACAAGGTGCTCGGATCAGTCAGGGAGACCACTTGCGCTCTAGACCCTTACCTCTCTTGGCTGAAAAAACCAGGAGGGAGGGAACAGCTGGCAGTCATTTCACCCAAGAGGCACAAATCTACCAATCAATGAAAGAGCTTTCTATTCACCACTTTTTCAGTCAGCCAACAAGTTTTTCTCTAGAGAAATGGAGGCGAGGATTCCTACATTGGTCTCAATTCTGTGGAAGGTGTAGCTGAGGGACGACAATTGTTCCCAGTACTAGGAGCAAGAAAACTGCTGGCCTCGTGGTGCAAGCTAAAGGCATTCTGGTCAGCTCTGTGAAGGAAGTGGAGACCTTCCCATCAGCCACCACTTTTGATTCCAAGATTCCCGCAGCACTTTGCCCCAGGTGTGTATCCAACTGCACATTGTTGAAAACTCAGTGAGAATCCCTTCACCCGCTAGCTCGTAAGTATTGGTCTGACATTAGGAATGCAATGTGTAGAATAAAAAAATTTGTTATAAACTTGTACTCTGTTGCATCCATCCTGACTTAGGGTGCCCTCCTGGCTGGAAGTGGTGGAGCTTGATGGCACATTGCAGTCAGCACCACATTCACAGAGATGATGCTCTTCATGGGAGACAACTCCTAGGGGCTGTGGGGGCTTCAGCCCCCCACAACAACAACAAAAAATTTTTGGGGGGGTAGCCCCCACAAAATTGATGAGCATTCCCATTCAAATGGTGTGTGTGCAGATGCCACATAAAACTTTTTTGTTTTATTCCCCAAAGCAGACAGAAACTTCCCATGATCTGTTCGTGCATTAGTAGAAAAGCACAGTAAGGAAATGCTTGAGTAATACCAACTAAAATGTCACAATGGTCTTTTCAAAAGGAAGATCTAGGGTGTGGTCAGACACACAAAAGAAAAAATGTCATTTTCGTCATTTGTCTTTTTTTTGGAATGAAGAGATTTGGGATAACAAATCTGGTGAGTTCCACACTTGAAGCTGGGTAAACGAGCTTCTGTCATGTTGTTATATCTATGAATAAACTCTGGGGTTGGCATAATGTGTTTCTGTGACATTTGGTTGTCCCCCCCCCCCCCCCGTTGATACTGTTTGCATTGAAAGTGGGACCCAGACTGTGAATGGCCATAATCTAACTGGGAGCAGGGGAGAGACTAAGTCTGCATCTGCCCATACAGGCCACCTGTGCTCACCCCAGCAGCGGCTTGCCAAACACGTTATGCTGTCACTTTTGGTTTCATGTTTGTTTTCTGCGATGCTCATCACAATGCCAACGCCTTGACTGGTAGGACTTAAAGGAGCAAAAGTTGGCAAAAATGTCCAAACAGCTTCTGAAAGATCAACACACGCCTGACGTGGTGCCATCCATCTTAATCCATCAAGGCTGCTCTACTGTGTGCGTTAAGCTTATCATAACTGCTGAGGATCCAGAATTATTGGGCCCAAGAGTCACACATTACAGAGAAGGAAGCAAAACACATAATCCCTCTGAATCCAGATAATGGAGGCTTTGATGCACAAAACTGCATGGACTACCCTCTCTGGGAGAAGCGCCCTTCAATGACAGTCTCCTCCTAACTGTCTCCAGCCTAGACCAACATCCCTTTGCTGCCTCCTGATTGATTTGTCAGTTATGAACCCTCCTGCTTACACATTACAGTCATCCCTCAGGTTGAAAGTGCTTCATGTTGAGTGCCTTCGAGTTGCGCTCCGTGGCAACCCGGAAGTAACGGAGCACGTTACTTCCGGGTTTCGCCGCTCACACATGTGCAGACCCTCAAAATGACGTCATGTGCAGAAGCGGCGAAAAGGGACGTGTGCATGTGCAGACGTGCCGTCGCTAGTTACGTTTGCTTCTGGATGCGAACGGGGCTCCGGAACGGATCCCGTTCGTATCCAGAGGTACCACTGTATAAAGGTGGGGTGCTTTCCCCTCTGTCGTCATCTTTTTTGTACATGGGCATTGGCCCATGCCAGAGGTGCCAGCTTTGGCCCAAGATTGGAGGTCCCAGTGTTGGGTCACGCATGTGCCATCACACTCGCGACATGTGTCACACGTCAGTGACGTCACACATGCACCACATGATTTGCACCTCTGACTTCATGCGCACAATGTGTGCACATCATCAGGAGGAAGCTGAGTGCTTAGCCCGGTGCCACGCAGCTGGGCTAGGCACTAATGCTGTGCAGCGCTTGGCTCAGTGCTCGGCTTCCTCTGCCCCCTCATCACTCGGGGTGGGGGTGAGTGCCCTGCTAAACAATATTGAGCAGGCGGAAGTCATCTCAGCCCTAAGGAGTTGGCACATATGGCCCTTGCTATAAGCCATGTGAGTTGGCTGGTTATGCAGCTTAGGCTACTTAGAAGCCAATTGTGTTTCTTCTAAGCTATGTTGTATGTACAGTACAGTGGTACCTCAGGTTACAGACGCTTCAGGTTACAGTCGCTTCAGGTTACAAATTCCACTAACCCAGAAATAGTACCTCGGGTTAAGAACTTTGCTTCAGGGTGAGAACAGAAATTGTGCAGCAGCAGTGCGGTGGCAGTGGGATATAGCCCCATTAGCTATAATAATAATAATAACAATAATAATAACAATAATAATAATAATTTATACCCCGCCCATCTGGCTGTGTTTCCCCAGCCACTCTGGGTGGCTTCCAATTGAGTGGAGCTAAAGTGGTGCTTCAGGTTAAGAACAGTTTCAGGTTAAGAACGGACCTCCAGAACGAATTAAGTTCTTAACCCGAGGTACCACTGTATTCCTATCTGAAGGAAGGGCCATGGCAAGCACTTTGCATGCAAAAAGTTCCAGGTTCAATCCCTGGCAGGATCTCCAGGTAGGACTTTAAGCTCCTCCTGACGGAAGCTCTGGAGACCTGCTTTCTGTCATTGTGGGTCATGGACTGACTGAATGTAAAGTGGCTTCCTGTGTTTCTGTAATGATCCCTTGAGACTAGCCAGCTTCCTGGCAGTAAGCTGACTCCTATCAGTTCAAGATAGTTTTTATTACAGAAACAAACCTCCTGAGCGGAGCTTCGCACTCCTCTCAGCAGCAATAGATGCCTTAGTCTGAGTTCCGCCTCCAACAGGATCTACGCCAGAACCTCGTACGTCTGCCCCTCCTCTTAAAGCTCTCTTTCTGTGGCCCTTCAGATGTTCCTTAACTACAATTCCCATCATCCCTGACCATGGACCTAATGGGATAAGCATACCTAGGTGCTGGAATCACATTACAGGTTTTGGAGAAATATGGAGAGGATATGCTATTGTAGTGTTGCTTCATTATATTACTACAAAATTGTTTTTGCAGAGTTTGACTTTGAAATGCATTTTTGTTTTCTTTGTTGTGTAAACTGCTTTGAGCAAGATTTTTTTATGGGAAAGCCGCATGCGAATAAAATTATGAATGACTATGTAACAAGGTGCTTATGAAATTAATCTCAACGAAGATTCAAAAATCTACTCTTAAGATAATATTTACGTAGGTGCCACTATACACAGGTGAATTTAACACACACTAACCCCAATCTGTCCCCAGAAATTCTGGCAGTACTGGGGATATGAAATGGACCAAAGGAATATGGTTTGGATAAAGAATTGATTCTATATTTATAAATAACTGCCAGGATGTTTATTGCAAAAAAAGGGGAGGGATATTTAGAAGAATTAAATAATGATTTATGGTTAAGTCAACTCTGGTTCATAGCTATTGCTGAAAAATCAATGTGTACTAGAGCACAAAAGAAAAAAGAAAACGGTGCATTTTCAATTATGTGGCAAAAATTTATTATAGCAATGTTCAAAGAGCTGCTAAATATGCTACTATTAGCATTTCATTCATTCATTCATTCATTCAGATTTATATAACGCCCTTCATCGTAAGATTTCAGAGTGGTTCACAGAATAAAGTACAGGATATGAACAAGTAAGGAATTAAAAACAAAACAGCAAAACTACAACCCCTTCTTACTGAACTAGATGGGCCTTTGGCCTGATCTAGCAGACAGGATCTGCTCATGTTCCCTATCCACTTTCCTCACACCACAAACACTTACACAGTTTTACCAATTGCTGTCTTATTCCCCTTGATTCTGAAGTAAATTGTCCCAAACGTCATCACTCCTTGTTTGGGAGCTGCCCCGGATCCCCTCAACCTTCTTGCTGCCCCATTCTCCCCCTTTTTCTGCAGCTCAAGATTGCACTGTCCTCCTGCGGAACTTGAAAGTGATTAGCTTTGATTGGAATGTACCCCAAACATCCATACAGCAGAAGTTTTTCGACAGTTTTAGATTTTAAAACAGCAGCAGCTGTTTTGAATGTAATAGGATATGTGCTCAGGTAAAGTTTGTGAACTGCCTAAAAATATCTGTTCTCTCCAGTTTGCAATAATGGAAGAAATAAGGGACTTCTTTTCAAGAAATTCTGGCAGTTGCTAGCTTCCTACAGATAATAATAATAATAATAATAATAATAATAATAATAATAATAATAATTTATTATTTGTACCCTACCCATCTGACTGGGTAGCCCCACCCACTCTGGGTGGCTTCCAGCATATACAAAAACATTAAACCTTACATAGCTTCCCTATACAGGGTTGCCTTCAGATGTCTCCTGAAAGATATATAATTTCTCATCTCCTTGACATCTGATGGGAAGCCATTCCACAGAGTGGGTGCCACTACTGGGAAGGCCCTCTGCCCTCAGAGAGCTAATTGCCCCACCCTAGCAGTGGATGTAAACACAGGAAAAAACTTCTATAAAAAGTCAGAAATTAAAAGAAGAAAAACACTATGGAAAATCATTTAGATTTTTATTTTTTGCTCTCCAGTGGAATCCTGAACCCGGTTTTCTGAACCAGGAAGGGCGGGGTATAAATAAAATTTTATTATTATTATTATCATTATCTGGTGTTGCATGTTTATAACTCATCCAAAACGTTGTTTCTTGACTAATGTAGCCGAGTCCCAAGTGTCCCTTCAATTTGCAATGCCTGTTAAGCCCTAGTGGACCCTCCTCAATCAAGAAGGGGTCAAATTGAACTATGGCAGGACCATGGCGAATAGCTTGATGAAGTCTGACTCAGTGTGCGTCAGTTGTGAAAAAGGGGAATGCCATGTTAGGTATCTTCATCTCTTATTTGAAAGCAAGAGAGACCAGTATCATAATGCCATTATCTTGTGAACCACCCTTAGACCTTCAGATGAAGGGCGGTACAGTGGTACCTCGGGTTACAAGCACCTCGGGTTACAAACACTTCAGGTTACAGACTCTGCTAACCAGGAAGTAGTACCTTGGGTTAAGAACTTTACCGCAGGATGAGAACAGAAATCACGCGGCGGCGGTGTGGTGGCAGCGGGAGGCCCCTTTAGCTAAAGTGGTACCCCAGGTTAAGAACGGTTTCAGGTTAAGAACGGAACGAATTAAGTTCATAACCAGAGGTACCACTGTATATAAATTTAATAAATAAATAACAAAATATTTATACAAACCACTGCATCTGACCACACTTGGAGTATTGGTCACCTCACATCAAAAAATTGTATTGTGGAGTTGAAAAAGTTGCAAAAAAGGGCAACCAAATTGATCAAGTTGAAGAAAGGTTACTTTGAAGAAGGGCTACTTTGATAAAATGGGGGGAAGGGATCAAATAGTGAAGTACAACATTCTTCAAAGTGTGGAGCAGTGGATCTTCTTACTCTTTCACCATAGTAGGATGTGTTATGTACCCCAAAGCCATCCCTGAGCCAAAACCGGGGTGACGGCCTATGAGATATGAGAGTCTGCTCCTACCTGACAGAAATATTTGTGCAGAAGAAAACCACACCAATTATTCTCCCTATCCCAGGCAGCTTCCCAGAAGCACCTCAACAGGCACTATTTGAAAAAGATGCAAGGCTAGAAAGGTATTTAGGGAAATCCAATGGAGCAAAATATCCAAGTGCACTATTTAAATAAAGTGCTCCATATCTTTCACTGATACGTTTTCTGACCCGTAGTTCTCTGCTTCCTCTTTGCTTTAGCGCTTTAACATATGTAAGTTAAAAACATATCAATCTGATTTCCAACCACGTGATCTGGTGGGTGAAGTATGTTCATGCCGTAAGCAACTGTCATATCCCAGGCATCAACAAAGCCCACCTTCAGATCCCGAAAAATGTCCTTTAGTGCAAGGTGCTGGGCATAGCCATGGAAGTCTGCAAATATTTCTTGTTCTATCGACACCTCCCGGGTGTTCTCCCCTTTGATGATGACTTTTGTATCTGGGCTCCTCAGGAGAAGGCGCTGGATGGCTCCCCGGGCATTGATTGCCCTTCGGATGAAGAGCTCGATGGGGAAGGGGCGGAAGTGCTGGCCCAGACCGATGACAACCACTGTGTCTTTGTCCCCTGCCACCAGGTCAATCTCCCGAGCGACGTAGTTATGATCTCTTACCATATACTCAGAAGCAGTCACTAAAGGGTGGTTGTGTTTTTTCCATTGGATTTGGATGTTTCTCTCCATGTCCACAGCGATCAAATTCCGGTGCTTCCCAGCTCCATGGCTGTCAAGATATTTAAGGCCTAATGTGGGAACAGACATAGAATTAATCCAACTTTCTTTCTTCATTGACCTCTCAGAAGATACTGAGCTATTTATTTCTGAATGACTAGTCTACTCTCTTGCATCTGATGGCAAGGAAGAAGCAGGACTTGCCCATTCGCGAGGATAGGTGAGGCACTCATTTCAGGGGGCAGAACTGGTTTCCTAAACAGAATTAATGCAATAATGTCTGGAAGATGGATGTTGCGGGGTTGTTGTTACTATGTTATGTAATTTTAGGTTTTCATATTGTAAACTGCCCCCTGTTCCTTGGATGAAGAGAGGAGTAGAAGTGAATTAAATAAAATAAAGAATGTTCAGGGCACAGAAAAGGATTCTGGCGTACCCAGAAATAGGAATGAAGCTGCGCTGTGGTTTTATGTAGGTGAGAGAACTTACTATTGACTCTCTTTGTGAGATACTCGATCCATTGCCTCACAGTTGAGTCTCCCAGGAGGTAAATTAGCTTTCGTTCCAAGCAAGTGTTAATCTGCTCCAAAGTGTTGAATGTGGACACATTGCAGAACACAGGATGCCACTGGTTCTGCCAGACAAAGCCACTGGGAGATGGGGAGTTCATCCCAACCTGGCACTTCTCACTTGCCGTAGTCTTCTTGCCTGAGAAATGGAAACAAGAGATAAGCAGTTTCCACTGAACTCTGTGACTGCAGCACAGTTGTGGGGGAACCAGCATTCTACAGTCTGTGGGGAAAGTCAAGGTTCCAAGGCGGAGGAGGAAGGAAATAAGCAAATACCTGGCAGAGGCAGCATTTTATTGTTGCCTCTTAAGTCTGCTCCTGGCAAACAATATGCCAGTTCTGAAGCCAGAGTCATTTTCAGGGACTCTGAACGGCACAGAACAACAATTTATTTCTTTATCCTAATTATTTGGCCAACTTCTTTTATCACAAGAATTTTCAGAGGGCCTGAAAACCGCAATAAAGAATAAAACCAAAGAGAATTCAAAGCCAACAAGTCTCAGCTTGAAAAAAAAAAACGGAGCAAATATCTTTAAAAAACAAACAAAACAAAACTCAAAGATAAACCAAGATTAATCTACAGCCTTACCAAGGCACACAAAAAATTGGGTGGGGAAGAGATATGTAGGCCTGGGTCAGCAGCTTGGATGAGACCCAGGAAATAAGATTCTTAGGGATGGATGGCACCAAAGTTGTGACAACTTAAACTAGGAAGGGGACAAGCAAAGGAGGATGCCTTCACCCCAGTGCGGATCCCCTTTATAACATATACAGCGCAACAAGACAATGACCCACTCCCCACAACAGTATCAATATTACTAATCTGACCCAACAAGCCCTACCCCAAACACACAAACAAACCACAATGCAACCAACTGAACGCAACCAATCAAGCTCTAATCTCTTGCAATGACCATAAAAATAGATAAATATATAACTAAGAGTCCTACCCATATGATGTTGACACAAGAACCACGCAAAAACACTGTGCAATAAAATGAAATAACATTATTCTTTTCCTCAACTGCATGATGTCTATGGCAACAGTTTCCTCATACTGAAAGCAAACAAACTGTGAAAAAGACTCTACGAATCAAAAGTGGAGATGCTATGTGTACTTCTCCTTGTTTATTTGTTTGTTTTGCAACACACACACACACACACACACACAACTTTTAATAAAAACTAATTGAAAGGAAGTCCAACTCACTTCCACAAGCTGCAATGCTAATGTCCCCAAATGCCTGCGGGATCTCAGCTCCAATGTTGGACCTTCAAAAGAGAGAAAACATCCATTATGAAATCCAAGTCAGACTAGGTGTCCTCCTAAGAGGACTAATGGCTTCATCCCACCTCCTCCTGCACACACCTAAATGGCCTCTATGGGAAATGGAAGCCTTGCATAGGTGGATCATTGTCCGGGGCTGGGCAGGAGGAGTGGTGGAAACTGCCTCCCCATCCCAACCCTTCCAGGGAGGAGGAAGAGGAAAACAGTATAGATTTACAACAGTGGTTTACGAGATGTCACAGCTCAGAGACAAATGAGGGGGAAAGTGGGGAAATAATGGGAGAGGAGGAGCAGGCAGAGCTGGAACAGCTGCTGGTTGACACGTTGTCACTAGAAAGCATTCCAGACCCACCATCTGAACTTCAGCTGCAGGTCTCAGTTCCTCTTGGTCAACCAGCACGATACAGGTGTTAGGGACTGGGCAGAGGAGGAATGGAGGAGACCTCCTCCCCAGTCTGGCCCTTCCAGAGACGAAGAAGACAGTTCAGACTTACAACAGGGGTTTGAGGGAGGTCACAGCTCAGAGGCAGATGAGGGGAAAAGTGGGGAAATAATGGGAGAGGAAGAGAAGGCAGAACCGGAGCAGCAGCAGCTGGCTGACACATTGTCATTAGAAAGCATTCCAGACCCACCATCTCCCAGAACACGGCGAGCCTTAAAAGTAGGAAAGCAAAGAGCTCAAAGACAGAGGACACATAGCAGCACCGTCAGAGGTGGTAATGATGATGACGAATGAGGAAGTGGGAGAGAAGGGGGTGGAGATTCACTCTGGACGACGCCATTATCCAAGAGGCTGGGTTCTATAGCCTCTCTCTGTAAAGTTTGAAATAAAAAGGGACTAAGAAATTTTCCCTTGTCTTTATACTTTCCTAGGCAAAGAGCCGGGAGCCGCTGACAGCATCCTGATGATTGTGATCTAACAAGACAATTATTGTAGTGCCATGTTCTTATTAGATGCAAACGGGAAATTATATTGAAATGTCTCAAGGGCAGACCCCAGAGCGTCTTCACGCCATGGAGAAAGTTAAAGTTAAAGTTAAAATGTTACCTTGGTGTAATAAAAAACAATTAAAATGGAGTCCGAATCCAACTCATCATGGAGCAGCTGCTGTAACTATTTGCCTGCTTATTCAGACGTATAACTTTTCCTGTGTGGTAGATTCAGGGTATGTTACTTCAGTAAAAAACTATTGTGATGGATCTTTGCCTCTAGTGGTGTTGAAAAGTAAAATTAGTGCCTGGGGTGTAAGAAAATAAGGGAACACCCACAATTTCTGTTAAATTCAGATTTCGTTGTTCTGTTTTCAATTTCCCCTTTCATTCTTCTAGTTCGCCTTTTGGATCATCTCAACCCCCAGCTCCATATGGATCAAATGGAAGTGTTGATGAGCCCATAGACAATCAACTTGCCCTGTTTGTATATACTACCAGCACCTCACACACAAACACATTGCTGAACTGAAGAGAAAGAAAGAAAGAAAGAAAGAAAGAAAGAAAGAAAGAAAGAAAGAAAGAAAGAAATCCCTGGGTCTCAGTGCAAGTGAAATAAGTGAAATGTTCACCCAGTTATGGCAAGCACAGGTGAAAAAGCACCTCTGTGCAAACTTTGTTCTCAGGCAATTTTTGGGAAGGTTTTTGTTAATACTCATCCATCTCAGGCATTTGTCTGATGCCTTCCGATTGCCCAGGAGCACAAATGCACAGTTCAGAACTGTCCTCAGGTAAGATATTTGCATATTGAACAGAAAAGAACATACCTGTCAAAAAGTCTCTTTTCCAGGGCTGTGAGATATGAGATGGGCTTGTTGTAGGACTTCAGCGAAACAAGAGCTTCACAAGACACATTCTTTGGTTTCACACAGTAGAAGGACTCCTTGTCTCTCCTGTCCAGATACTCACACAGTTCTTCTTTTGTTGCTATATTAAAACCACAGTTGCTGAAGACATCCAATGTTCCTTTTAAAAACCTGCCCCTGAAACCTATTTTGTTGTAGCCTCTCTTCCTCGCAGCCCACAATGCAGAAACTCCTTCACTGGGATTGATGAGCCGGAGAGATGCTCTGACTTTGCCCTCCCAAAATAAAGTGAAATGGACCAGGTAAGTCCCATTCTTAAGGTCCTCAATATGTCCAGACGCTCCGGCCTTAAGGCTTGAAGAATAGATCCTTGCTTGTAAGAAGTCTCCTCCGTACTCCTTTCTGTTCCCCAAGTGGTTGTACAAATCCAGTCGAACTATCAAGGGATCTCCAGTGCAATAAGAATCCTTGGGGCTTAATATTGTGGCTTTGCTGTTCTTGGCACTTGTGGTGGTCTTTATATCCGTGAAAGTTACATTGGGCATCAGCTGGTCTAGTTTTTTGAGAACACCTCTTACATCTTTTTCTTCCCATTCCATCCCACTGTGGCTTGGGAGTGGCGAAGTCCTCCTTCGGTTATCTTTGATTGAATAAGTTTTTGTTAAAAGAACCCAAAAACCTTAAACACACTTGCGATACTAAATAATACAACGACATCATATTGTACTTTATTCATTATATTGTACTACAAAATTCCATACCTGCTGTTTACATTTCTCAAAGCCTAAAAGGTCTCTATCCAGTTATCGACTAGAGTTGTCTGTTACCACTTTACTGGGGTGGGGTGGGAAATGTGCCTTCTTTATTAAAATAATACATATGCTTTGCAACATGGTTTCAAATGCTCTCTGATATATTCCTTGAAATAATGCCTTATGTGGTTATGATTTTTTTTAATAAAATAAAATCCTTACCATCTTCTGTAGCAGCATGAATCCTTTCTGCTTGCCCCATGAGACCTCCAAAGATGGCAATCTGGAGCAATCGGTGAGAAAGAAATTATTACAAGCATTCACAAGGAGAGAATGTAGCTCAGTAGTATGTATTTTCATGCAGAAGTGCCTGGTCCCATTCTGGACTTTCCAATCTCAAAAAAGGATCATATAGCAGCCGTGTGAAGGGAAAGACTTTAGATTGAGATCCTGGAGAGCCACTGCCTCTCAGAATTGGTGATATTGACCTAGAATAGATGGACCAATAGTCTGACCTACCTAGTATGAGAAAGCTTCCTACAAATACTCTGCGGGTATTTAAGAGATTTTAAACCTTGAACCAAAGGTTTCTACTGATTCCTCCTTTATCTCTGCTTAGTTTTGGTGTTTTTTTTACCCACTAGGCAGTAAATGGGCAGCTAAAGCCCTAGTTAAAAGGGTTTAAGAAAACTTTGTTGATAAAACAAGACAAGCAGCTTCACGATAGTGCCAATTGCTCAATCTCTCCTTCTCCATTCTAAAAACATTTTCAAGTCCTTACTAACACAATATTTGTTGTAATCATTTCTCCAGAGAAACATAAAACTATTAATCAATTATAGACCTTTTTATGTACCACTTTCTTGGTTGGCCAACCATTTTTTATATATGCTGGATACAGAAAACGGGGTGAGGATTCCAACCTTGGTCTCAGTTCTGTAAAAAGTGTAGCTGATGATGATAATCGCTCCCAGTGCAAAGACCAAAAATGCTGCTGGTTTCATGGTAGAAATGAAATGTGCTCTGGTCACCTCTGTGAAAGAAGCAGAGGGGTTTCCCATCACTCACCACCACTTTTTATTTCTGGTTTTCCACAGAACTTTGCACCAGAAGCATACTCAACAGGATCTTGTTGGAAACCCGGTGAGAAACTCTTAGACCACTAGCATATAAATATTACTTTGACAACAGGAATGCAATTAATAGAATAGCGGTTCTTCTTAGTTGCATTCTTACAGACTTAGGGTACAATCTTTGTATTTTCTGCAAATCAAAAAAGGAAAGACTTACTTTGGGGGTTCACACAGAGAGACTTTATCTTCTTCTGAGTGGAAACAACATCACATCCTCAGGTGAAAAGAAGTCCCCTGCCACCTTCACAATATCTGAACCTGTCAGGCAGTTGGTGCTGAAAATGGCATCAGTCAAGAGGGTGACTCAGGAACCAGTACCTAACCTGAAATTGTCTGTATAATTATCACTGTGAATGGCAACAATGTAGATTGTGCAGGATCCAGATGGAACTGGGTTTTGAGCAAAACCAATGACATAGGCTTTGTTGACCTAACTCTCTTTCTTCGCAGCAGCCACAAATAATAAGGAACGCCTCTGGAGCTGAATCTCCTTCAGCCACTTAACCCCTTGTTCACCAAGATTGTTCTCCTATAGCATTTTCTGTAAGCTTCTTCCCATCTCTTCCAGCCTGCCAGCCTGCCTACCTGCCACGTAGCACGGTCTGCTCACACATAGGGCTTCCCCCCACCCCAGTCCTTGAGCCCAGGAACTGGTTCCATTCCTGAGAACAGAAATGAAAGACGGAACTAATTTCAGAGCATGACTCACAAATTGCACCCAGCCTTTGGAAACCATAATGACAGTTCGCTTTAGAAGTGGGTGCTAGAGAATATTGTAATGACTCCAAAGTCTAAAGTCTCTTTTGCTTATGGCAGGGTGGCCTAATTTGCCTAGCCAACAGGAACTTGATGCGAAACAAGACCACATACACACCATACATTTAAAGTGCCATTATACACCTTAACAGTCATAGTCCTCACACTGAGAATCCAGGGAGCTGTTAATGGGGTGCTGAATAGTAATAGTAATAGTGGTAGTAGTAGTAGTAGTAGTAATTGTTGTTGTTGTTATTTATTGAATTTATATACTGCCCTATACCCAGAGGTCTCAGGGTGGTTCACAGAAAAGATGAACAATGTGTTCAGAGTTCTGAATGTGTCATTAAGAGACCACTGTCCCCCTTACAGAGCTACATTTCCCCAAGTGAAGTAATAATCAGTTCCTCCTTCCAGCCAACTTTGGGAATTGTCACTCTGAGTGGGAACTAGGGTTGCTCCCATTTATTGTATTGTGCATGCATCCTGATCTGTTTGCAAGAGGATAGATAAGGTTGGCTGTTTATGGACATATACAGGATATAAGCATAATTGTTACCCATGTAAATCCCTCTCATCTATTCCCCCTCCCGCGTCCCCTTGACTATAAATCAGTAAAATGGTTCAAAGATGGCAAACACTCCCAGCTGTAAGCTCTTTATCCAACCTTTTGAAACTGTGCAGCAATATCACTTACAAAGTGGATGCTAGCGAACATTGCAATGACCCAGAAGTCTTAATTCTCAATCACACACATTATCATTGTTTGTGATAATAAGGTAGTCGATCTCATTAAATCCTGGGTGTCACTAGCTCACAATAGCATCTGTTCCTTTTCAGGTGTTTGTTCTTGACAAAAGTGGACGCCCATCCAGTTCCTGTGATCGTCATATGCTTCAACTGTTTTGAATTCTGAATGTTACGAGTGTTGTAATCTACCCTGGGACCTGCTGGTGAACAGGCAAAATGCTGTGCTCATTTTTCAAAGTGAAGAGATTTAGGATAAGAAAATCTAGTTGGTTTCACAGTCAGTGTTGGCAAAGCTGTCTCTATCACATGAGATCCATGGTTGTTTTTTTCCTGCCTACAGCCCAGCACAGACTTAGGTTACAGTCAGCTGAACACATTTGGGGCAGAGCTCTGGGACTGGCAGAAGATGTTTCTGTGACTTTTGGTTGCTTCCTCCATTTACAGTGTTGCTGTTGTTGGGCAATTTGTGCACATTGGCAAACATTAGCATCTGTCCTTTTCTGGCAAAGATTGGTCCCAGAGCCTGAGTGAGAGACCTGCAATGCAACAGATCTGCAATGCAAACTCCCTGTTTCATTGCAGGTTAGAGACATAGGCAGTTGGTGACTGAACTATGTGGCCAGTCCCTCCTCCAACATGGGGTATTGTGGTTGCCTTATCAGCCAGCCCTCAGGTCTGCAGCTCTTCCTACATCACCCACAAGGGATGGAGAAGGGTTTTGGACTCGGAATCTGCCCTGAGCCCAGTTAACCTCTTACTCACCAACCTCCTCCTCCAGCCTCCTCCATGCCCTCCACTCTGTCTCTCACCTCCTCCCTTCTTGCTTGCACGCTGTCCTCCCTGGTATCAGCTGCAACAGGTGCGATTAGCAGGATAGGCAATCTTCCCCTTGCTTTGCAGTGAGGAATTTGCCCTGGGTAGGTTGGGCCATGGGGGAAGGGGAGGGCCAGGGAAGAGAAACGGAGAGCCTCTGAGCATGTGCCACTAAGCTCACTAAGAAAAGCAAGCTAGCAATCTCAAAGTTTTCCCAAACATAGGATTAGGGAAGAATAAAGGAGGGTGCTGTAATGGACAGGCAGGTTTAAATTCAGTTGGTGACTGAATTATGTGGCCAGCCCCTCCTCCAACCTGGGGTATTGTGGTTGCCTTATCAGCCAGCCCTCGGGTCTGCAGCTGCTGTTGCTGAATGCCGCCAGGTTGGCTTGGAGTAAAACCTCACTCACCCATTATCTGATTGTGGCTGAGGAGGCTGTATCTGGTCTGTAGCACTGAGACCTGGGTAGGTGAGCAGGGCTGAGTTGGTCTCACCCAGTTGTGCCTACCTGGGTACTCAGTGCAGCATCATGGCAAACTTGAGAATTGGGGAGTTGCTGTGGTCTATGGAGATTTTTTTTCTCTTTCTCTCTCTCCAGGCTCTCTGTCCAGTTGGGGGGCATCTAGAGTGTGTGTTCCTGGCACTGGCCAATCGCGACAGTTTAGGGATTCGGCTGGTTTCCTGCCCACCTCTCTGCCCAGCTTTGCCTGAGATGACAGAGCTGGTCTTGGAGGCGGTGTTGGGGACAGCGGTGGAGCATATGCCCATGTTGTCCAGGGCTGGTGCACACCTGATGGGTGCCCTCCCAGGTGCGGGATAGCTGCTCAGGTGCCCGGAGTGGTGCGCACGCCCTGAAGCCAGGGGCAGAGTGAGCCACCCAAAGTGGACATTTGGCACGCTGCCTACCCAAGACTCCCAAAGGACTGGAGAAAATTTATATTTTATTTGAAAGAAAACTGTAAACATCTGAAAACATTTGTAGGTTTGACTTGAAATGTTTGGTAATGTGAAAATAAGGAGCTGATTTACATATAAGAGGGTGAATGTTAAAAGAAGACACAAGGTAAAGAAGTGGTTATAGAAATGCGATAAATTTGTTAAGGGATGCGGGTGGTGCTGTGGTTTAAAACACAGAGCCTAGGACTTGCCGATCAGAAGGTCGGTGGTTCAAATCCCCGTGACGGGGTGAGCTCCCATTGCTCAGTCCCTGCTCCTGCCAACCTAGCAGTTCGAAAGCACATCAAAGTTCAAGTAGATAAATAGGGACCGCTCCAGCGGAAAGGTAAACGGCGTTTCTGTGCGCTGCTCTGGTTCGCCAAGCTGTACGTCGGCTCCCTCGGCCAATAAAGTGAGATGAGCGCTGCAACCCCAGAGTCGGCCACGACTGGACCTAA